GATTTTCAGTACAAATCGGCAATTTCATACTTTAACCCCTATTATTACATATTTGTTACAATATACATTTTAGATCTCCAATGTGTTTGTGCCACTTGCTGGATGTACATAGGGCGCACCATAAGATTCCGGAACTGGCTACTTACATAAACAATATTTAAAAAGTAATTACAACATTTGAAAATGGATCTCTTTGGCTGTTGAATATAGTTTGTTTCATCTGAGTGTCACTTGTTTTTATATTGTGGCGTCATTTTAGAAATTGGTTGTCTACATCACCATGAATTTAACTCGTGAAAATTTTCGTATTATGATTTTCTACGAATTTAAAGAGTAATTTTTATTTATTTTTTTAATAACGTACACACTCAACATAGCCCCGCACTAGGCAAACCCTTTGTCGCGGGTGCCATGGACACACACATAGACAACCACAAATTACACCCAAACTCACGAGAGAAAGAAATGTAGGCCATACAAATATTTCTCCCAGCCCGGGAATCGAACCTGAGACCTCTGTGTGGCAGTCCGGCATAGTAACCGTTCGGCCACGGAGGCAGTTAAACATTTAAAAACATAAAAGCTCAGCGGAGCTTCGCTCGGCTTCAAACCGCTTTTGGAGATGAAGCACCATGCAAGACGACTATTTATAGCTGGTTTGCAGAATTCAAACGCGGTCGCTTGAATCTTAGTGACGAGTTTCGTGATGGTCGCCCGTCTACTGCTGTGAACAACAAAAACATCGATGCTGTGTGCCGCATGATCAAAACAGACAGGCATGTGACATACCATGAGATTCGGGCATCTTTAGGCATAGGCATAAGTCAGATACAATCAATAATACACAAACATTTGGGTGTGAAAAAGCTGTGCTCTCGGTGGATCCCACACAATTTGACTGAGGCTCAAAAAACGGATCGCGTCACTTGGTGCAATGCCATGCTTCCCAGATTCAACGAAGGGGCGTCCAATTTGGTAAGGGATATAGTAACAGGTGACGAAACATGGGTTTATAGTTACGATCCCAAAACAAAGCAGCACTCGAGCGTATGGGTCTTTCAAGATGAGCCGAAACCAACCAAAGTGGCGAGTGTGCACAGTGCCTCTAAGCGCATGATTGCTCCTTTTTTAAATAAAACTGGACACGTGGCTACTGTTGCTTTGGAGAATCATTGTACTATGAATAGTGATTGGTATTGGATATTTGTTTGCGGGAAGTTATTGACAAACTCCGTAAAAATAACTGTAAACGCCGTATCATCTTGACCACGATAATGTCAGTTCTCACACGGCCAGAGATAGACCAGTGTTGGGCGTTAATCAATTAAATTTCAATCAATAATTCAATGAGATTAAAAAATCAATTCAATTGAAATCAATTGCAATTAAATCAATTGCGACGCTTAAATTAATTGCAATTGATTTCAATTGAATTGATTTTAATTGCAATTAAATTTGCAATTAAAATCAATTCCGGCCGGTTGGGGGCCCCGGTTGGGAACCCCACTTGGGGCCACGTTGGGGGCCCCGGTTGGAGGCCCGGTTGGGGGCCCGGTTGGCGGCCCAGTTGGGGCCCCCGGTTGGGGCCGCGTTGGAGGCCCGGTTGGGGGCCTCGGTTGGGGGGGCTGGTTAGGGCCCCGTTAAGGGGCCTGATGGCTCCCAACCGGGCCCCCCAACCGAGCCACCCAACCGGGGCCCCAACCGGCCGCCTAACCTGCCCCCAGCAGGCCCCCAACAGGCCCCCACAACCAACGCCCTAACTCACCCCCATATGCCCTATAAATTTGTCGTAATTGTTAGTTTTCATTGTTAATTGTTAATCAAAAAGATTGAAAATTGATTAATTGTAGATATTTGCGATTAACGATTGATTGCTGTTTCGCAATTGACAATTAATCAATTGTCAATCTTTAATTGCCAGAACAATTAAATTTTGCCCAACACTGAGATAGACAAATGAGTTTTTGAAGGTTAACAACGTTGACCTTATTAGCCACCCCGCGTGCAGTCTCGACCTGGCACATTGTGACTTTTATTTATTTCCAAAAATTAAGTCAACTAATTTCTACAAACATAAAAATTATTCTAATTTCTATTATTAATAAATTGAACTTAATAAAAATTCATTCAATAAAATAATTTTTAAAACTTAATGTAGCGCAAATTGGAATGTGTTCTTTGTAAAATTAAAAATAAGGTGTTTAATTAATAAATATTGTAACTATAGTGAAAAACTAGGGTGGTTTGCATCAATATTAGACATAACTGGTTGAAGACTGTACCACCTCAGTCAACCGTAACCATGGGACCTGTAAAGGGCCCGGAACGTCGGTTTGTTTGAAAAAACAAATATACGCGATTTAAATCCGGAAAAATAGTTTCATTTCCTATGTGTAACAATCGCGAAAATCTAAGAACTCGATAACCAGTTACGCGATCAACGATTTTCAGCACCTGAAGAGGCTGTCGAAGAGTATGAAAAATATGTTTCAGAGATTGTCACGGAGGAGTGGCATAAATGTTTTCAAAATTGGTTCATTCGCATGAAAAAGTGCGTTAACGCTAACGGAGAATATTTTGAGAAACAATAAATACATTTCTGACCATTTATAGTATTTTTTTCTCATACATTCTGGAAACTTATAGTGCGTCTCATGTATTTGCGTATTTTTATAGCTATAAAATCCATTTGTTACAGAATCTGCCACCTCAACTACTGTTCATCCATCAAGGGCAAAACGACATCAAAGAACTGCATTGGCATAAGCAAATACCCGGCGTCATAGTAACTACTGCTCATACTGGATTTAATATATTTAAAACTATTAGTGTATAAATAAAAGAAAAATTTTGTAAATTTGTTTTTTTATTGCAGCAAGTTTTTCCATTAGATATTTTCATGATCGAAAAATATAAAATCTAAATGACAGATCAATAAATTATTAAGTAATACCACTGATTTTGGTCTGAATCATTGCTAAATTGACTAAATGCCGAATGGTGGGTCTTCCATGAGGACAATTCTGCAACAACAACAATATCTATCTTATATTTATTATATTTACCTTTTTCTTTATACAATACCTATGTTCTTCCTTGAACATCGGTATTTTACATACAGATCGGCATTTTATATACAGATCGTAGAATGGTCATAACCAAAAAAGTTAGAAGTTGTAATATTTATCGAGTCTAGTGTTTATATGTATATAAAGGTCATGATAATTTCATCATAAGAAGAATGATGATCATAGGTCGGAAAAAGGTGTTCCACACATATAGCTACAAGGAGCGACAAAGAGTTGTTAAAACCACCAAATAATACTTAATTATTTTTTCGAATTCCGGATTTCCGGAAATGGTTTTACTGCATCGTAGGGCAAACTACTAACCTAGGAAGTCAAGTTGGATTTTAAAGTAATTCTAATGGTGCCACGATAACTGACAGCCTTGATGCCGTTCCGTCAATGTGACTGTCAATATGCGGGGGGCAGTGTGGCATCTAAAGCTAGGGAGAGACAGAGTGACCATTCTCGTTACTTTTTTATTCTTTGCTTTGGTAAAAGGTCAGTTATCTACTGCATTTTTTAATAATGACTTCCAACACCTTTTTCCGACCATTGGTGGTGATAGAAGAATAATTATAAATATTTCATTTTGTTATAATCTTCTAAAGCTTACCCAAGGTTGGTCAATTTCAGCCATATGGTCGACGAGTTTCTTCATATCAACTTTACTTAGAGCGGTGCCAATCATCACTGACTTCCGACATGCTCGTGAAGCAAACATCGCTCGCACCCTGCTTGGTCTGCAGCATTCTGTTGGAGATTCCTAAAGAAGTAACAAATTAACCTTTGAATTGTTGATTTACTAGTAAGCATACAATGTATTTTAGAATGTGATTCTTTTTCAAAAAGTAATTTTATAAAATAGAATGTCCAGAAGAAACAAAATGGAAAAAGAGAACATTTCAGTTATAGTACTTTCAATACATACCCGTAACATAAATAAAAGCTCTTCAATGTCTTCTTTGCCAAATATCCAATTTTTAGACATGGGTATTGTTAATAACTTCACCCTCTTAGTTGGAGAAGATGCTTCATTAATTTCAAATGTGAATCCATTCTTTTTGAAGACATCTAAATTGTCCATCAATATTTGTTCATTTACTCCAGATAGTTCTAAGTTTTGGGGACTGTAAATTGAAAAAAAAAAAAAGTTTTTTGATAAGCATTCACAAAATCTTACATAAGGCATATTTGATGTGGTAAGAAGTACTTACCAAACTAATTTTTGGCTTGTTAACTCTGTACTCTTCTGTAAAGTCTCGAAATTATAGATCTCATCAGTAGCATGTTGATCAATTATAAACAGATCATCCTCTAATCTCGTTATGATGAAGCCTAAGTTAAACTGCCCCACAACACTCATTTTTTTGAATGAATCTTTGGATATTTCTTTGCTAAGTTCCTCTTCGCATTTTTTATTGAATACTGGATTGATTGCACTTTTAAATTTAAACCTTTCAGGTACTGATTTAGTTTTTTGTTTATTATACATATCAATTAAAGCTTGAATATGCTCTAATGATGTTTTCATGATAACTGACTTTCTGTTATGTTTTCCCAAATCTTCTTTATCAGTTATGACTTTTGATTTTTTAGCTGGCTTCTCTTCAGGTGATCGGAATGAAATGTTAGCTTTTGAAGTATGTGGTTTAATTTTGCAAGTTATCGTATGTGACTTCTCTGTAACAACATCGTCTATCTGACGAATCTGAGTAGTTGGTAAATTATCTGTATACTCTAAATACATCATTTCTTTGTTTTCATTGCATACTTTTGAATTACTTATTTGTTCCTTCAGTTGTCCTAGGTTGATTGTTTCGTTCAGTATAACAATCTCCTCCAATTCTGTGGAATCAGCTGTTTTATCTTCTGAATTTCCCGTGGCAATATAAAATTCTTGAATATTTTTACTATTTAGGCCTTCACCTTCTTCCTCTCCAGTTCGTCTGTAAGGCTCACTCTCCTTCTTAACTTTAGATGAAATAAAATCTAATATAGTAGTAGATGATTTTCGTTTTAAATCTACAGTTTTGTGGTCATCTTTCTCGCTAGCTCTGGAAGTAGACTGTTTACTGAATTGATGTAAAAAGGAGTTAAATATTCTTGGGTGATCCACATCTGCTTTCAGATCTTTTGCTTCAGTGCCAAAAAGATCACTATTACTAATTTTTAACGTTCTTGGGACATTTTCAAACAGTTTTAACAGAGAGGTTTTAAGCACATCCAAGACAAGTTTTTCTCTGGTAAGGAATACTTGTCTTTTATCTGGAGTCACATTTACATCTACTGTAGTTCTCTCCATAGTGATATTTAAAAAAACAAATGGATATTGATTACAATTGTTCTGTCTGTATAGTTCGTTGATGAGTTTAATTATTTTCGTGGGTTCACAAGGCCTTGAGTTAACATAGTAAAACTGCCTATCTGTGCTTGAGCGGCCACAACCATGGGCACAGGATGATATGAATCCTGTAAACTCCACAGGATTGACAATATTTTTGTAACCTTGGGATTTTTGCGAACTGGAGGTACTCTCATTCTTATTTTCTGCGTCGTTTGAATCTTCAGACAGGTCTATTTCAACATCTTTTATGTTAATATTTTCTTGTGTTTCATTAACCTCTTGGGACAGCCCTTTGAAAATATTATTTTTAATATTTGTAATGCATTCAGGTTTTATTTGTAATATATTCTGCAACTGTTTAGGCCCAAATACACAGGCTATATTGTCTTTATATGAAGCAGAACCTTGAGTAGCTACTATTACTGATTTTGAATTTGAACTTGTTTGATTACTGCATGTAATTCTGGAAAATTTAAGAAATCCAGTTGTAGCTGAATTGATGACATGAATCAAGTTAATAAGAACTTTATAGGTGCATAGTGTTACTCACTTTACTCCTGTAGAGATCAGACAATATGCATACAACAACTGTGTCATCTTGTTGAACTCTCTTTTGACATTTTTGTGGAATTCCTTTTGTCTTACTGGCAAAGAATGGAATAGCTTTGACAAAGAAACAGTCGTACCGACTTGGCGAGAACATGGCGTCTTTTTTATTATTTGTCCATTATGATCATATTCTATTTTTGTAGCTAAAACATGTCAATATAAAAATTAAAAACTGCTACAATTGAACTGTTTTATATGTTCATATTAAGATTGCCTATTCCATACATTTTTTTAAATAATAATAAAGCACACACTCAATATAGCCCCGCACTAGGGAAACCCTGTGTCGCGGGTGCCATGGAAACACACATAGACAACCACAAATTACACCCAAACTCAAGAAAAAATGTAGTAAAAATCAGTGTTGGGCGTTAATCAATTAAATTTCAATCAATAATTCAATCAGATTAAAAAATCAATTCAATTGAAATCAATTGCAATTAAATCAATTGCGACGCGTCGCAATTGATTTAATTGCAATTGATTTTAATTGAATTGATTTTAATTGCAATTAAATTTGCAATTAAAATCAATTCCGGCCGGTTAGGGGCCCTGGTTGGGGGCCCCCAAGCGGGGACCCCAACCGGGGACTCCAACCGGGGCCCTCAAGCGGGGCAACCAACCGGGGCCCCCAAGCGGGGCTCCCAACCGGCCCCCTAACCTGCCCCCAACAGGCCCCCACAACCAACGCCCTAACTCACCCCCATATGCCTTATAAATTTATCATAATTGTCAGTTTTAATTGTTAATTGTTAATCAAAAACATTGAAAAGATTGAAAATTGATTAATTGTTAATTGTAGATATTTGCGATTAACGATTGATCAATTGTTAGTTGCTGTTTCGCAATTGACAATTAATCAATTGTCAATCTTTAATTGCCAGAACAATTAAATTTTGCCCAACACTGGTAAAAATGTTAAAAAGAAATAAATGTAGGCCATTGTTCAGTACGGCTGCACTCAACGAGTAGTTTTAAGTTTGTTTATTGTATAAAATACTGCGTTACATTGTGTAAATAGTTTAAGGAAGGTTTATTTGTTGTACAAAGTATTACGCTAATTTGTTCTAATAGCCTTAAGTGGTAGAAACAAAGTTTGTGTATGTGTCTCGTTTTATTCCAATAAGGATCAAACAGGTATTCCGTTGAAATAATGAGTAAAATAGAGAATATGCCTGCTTGATCCGACTCGCGCGCAGACAAGCGCACACGCAGCTGGGGAGACTACTTATACACCTGAAGTGGGGGCTAGGGTAGTATAAGTAGATCGCCCGGTACAAATCGCCTGCAGGCGCAAAACTAAGGCCGTTATGTACCACTTGCGTACGTTGTAAGCATTGACTTACAAATAAATGGACGACGGGTCAACAAAAGCCACGAAAAAAATGTCCCAAGTCAACCTATTTAAACGTAGTGACATACAGTAAAGGAATATGAAAAAGCTAAAACGTTAAATTTTAATGTCATTGCAGTACTGCCTAATTTTGTTTGCAACAATTGAAAGGCGCAAAAAAACACCATATTCAGCTTCTACTGGAAACTTACCAAAATGCACCATATGTAGCTTCTAGTGAAAATTACTTGAACACAAGTATAATGGAGTAGTCTTTATTATTTATAAATAAATTTTATACAATGCCATTTATTACGAGCTAGGGTGTCTGACTTTTTTTCTTGAGTTTCGAGAATTTTTAAAAACCGTAAATCAGCTCTATCAACTATAAAACTAAATGTGAACTTTTCGAAAGTTGTTTTGGCCTGGGTATTCTGAGTTATGCCCCGGAATAAATTCCACCGTTCTTGATCCCAGGTTCGATTCCCAGTAGAACCAATTTGGAAAATGAACTTTTGTAAATTGGTTCTGCTCTGGGATTCTGTTGCTCTGATACTTATGGGGAGTATGTACAAAAAGTTTCCTAGTTTCAGACCAAGTGATTATCTTACAATAGAATACCAAGACCAGAACCATTTAGAAAAGTTTACCAATTTAACAAATTATGTTAAATTGATCCTACCGGTATCGAACCCGGGAACCTCTCATCCAGTGCCCACATTGCAAACCATTAGGCTATCAAGGTTGTACTATTTGTATTATTATGCATTGTTTGCATGTGAAAGCTACAAATTGCTTAAACTTTAAAAAAAATCCTATTTAATTTGCACTGTCAGTCTGCTTCAATTACCTTCTTTGTTTCTTAAGTTGGAATATTTTGTCATTCATCCAACTTTTGATTTTTAATGCATTTTGGCGGTGTAAGATGTTCTCTGTTAATACTTGTCACTTTCTTCTTAAGTTCAAGCTATGTTTCCTGGATAAATTCCTGTATTCTGTCCTTTCTATGCACAGTTCACTCATTGATGTAATCACATACCAAAGCTTTGATATTATGGTCTTTTATCAACCTTGCATCAGCTCTGGTTTCCTTACTTTTCTTACCATTTTCTTAACCCGTTCGTGCATAGTACTGAAATTATACTGTGCTCAAAAACGTCACCACTTTTCTATATGCCGTAGTGCTTACATTGATTCAATATAATTATTACGGTTTATCACTGACGACGCTTGATTCCGTCAACAGGCATAGTCGTACTGCTCATAGTTCTTGCAAATGTTTCTTGTGCATGAAAAAGTACGGCTATGACGGTAGTAGGGTATTTGCCGTCGAGAAATAATTACAAAATTAAAATGCGCTATATTGATGGCGCAAGAGAAACGCTTTCCAAAATAAACACTTAGGTACTAATTAATAATTATAATAACGCACACACTCAACATTGCCCCGCATTAGGGAAACCCTGTGTCGCGGGTGCCATGGAGACACATATAGATAACCACAACTTTTTATTATTACATCCAAACTCACGAGAGAAATAAATGTAGACCATACACATATTTCTCCCGAAAAACCTAAAAAAATACTTTCGGGATTACGGAAATTCATGCAAACGTTATTTCGGGCAAATGTATTTTCGGTCTTCTGATTCATAACCCCGAGCCGTAGAAAGAGTACAACAATATTTGAAAGTATTATTAATATGTATTAAAAAATATTTTAACAATAACATTAGCATCAAAGCGACTCTATGAGATTTTTGTTCTAAATATTTAAAACGCTTGTGTTTCAAACAATTGAAATTGACGTGATGAGTCTCGTTCAGTCTTTTACACAAGCAATGAGTCGGAAAGAGACAGTTAGCTATTTGATTATTTTGATTGCTTTTGTGAACTATATTTACGATTAATTTAAATATAAATTAAATACTATATATACTAGTGCATAAAATAACACTTTTAAATGAGAACTATGATAACACAATGTAGTACTTACTGAAAATATGATATACCATCCTGTTTTTTCACTTTAGTTGAGTAATTTTTACAAGGTTTTACTACACAATACGGCATCATTGACAAGCGCGCTGTCAGTCGAACAAACGAAGACTAAAGCGTGATTGACGCTCTGTATACGATTTTAACGCCCTGTAAGTTCGGACTCTTTTTAGCGCGGACCCGACGTCCTTTTATTTGTAAGTCAATGGTTTTAAGACGTTATGTACAAATTAGCAGTAAGTAATATATTATAGTAGAAAAGTATTTGTAATAAATTAATATGTGAAACATGAATAAATAGTACGACCCCCTGGTGAGGTAATTTTTGGCGGGAAAGGAAGGCTGGCTCACCTATAAAAGGCGTACTGGCACCAATAGATACACGTCCAAAAACAGCCTAAGCTCGAAACACATTGAAAAACCCAGAAGAGGAGCCAGCAGCCAACCTTACCAGGCAAAACCAGCCTCCAGATCTTCATAGTATATATAACCGCCCGATTTATTTAAACCAGTCATAGATGCATCCCGCACAGCCATACAAATATTTCTCCCGGCCCGGGAATCGAACCTGGGACCTCTGCGTGGCATCCCGTTCCACATGTGTGCACATTAAAAATATACACAAATTTCTGAAATAATTGTATAATTTTTAAAGACTATGTATGTACACACACCAGCATATCAAGCTACACATTGACATATCTTGTTCCATTGCACTGGAGGCGATTTTTGAACAAAAATGTGTAGTCTGATGTGCCGTTGTCCATACTTAACTCAAACGCAGTGCACTTGCTTGGCGGTTTTGGATCTTAGTTAGACAAATAGTTTTATTTTTAATTAGCAAGTATCTTATCTTTTTCATTATAGAATTTGCAGCTAAAAGTTGTTCTTATAAAATGATGTTGATTTTGAAAAGCTGACAAGACTTACCGTAATTAGAGCTCTGATGTCTGGTAATAATAATCATGTTGGCTAAAGCACATAGAGAGCTTAAAGCTTCCCCTCTGAATCCAAAACTAGAGACACCTAGTAAATCTGAATATTCACTTAGCTTTGAAGTGTGATGTTTTAGAGCTGTAAAATATTTACAATTTAAATAAAGCCAGTTTTTCACTGTACAAGCCTGCTCAGACTAAGTCAACTCTGATGACTACCCAAACGCCACACATAACGTATGGATTGGATGCCGACGCCCAAGTGAGTTTGTGTCATGTGATGACATATTACGAGTAACGTCCTAGTAGTAATCCAAGTGGATTCGGTTCAAGTGTGCTGGTATAGTGAAAACCCAGTTTTAGGACAACTTTTAAACAATTTAAGAATGTATTTGATATTAATTTCATGAATATAACAAAACAAAGTATTTTGGATGAGAAGACACACCTATATGTAAATTTTGATTATGCTGCATACAAGAGATAGGAAACTATTACTTATTATTATATACCTAATATTAAACTTACTTAAAGCAGCAAAATTATCCTCTGTAACACCGAATCCATTATCGGACACCTCAATTAATTCAACCCCGTAATTCTTAAGCCTAACGTCTATATTCGTGGCACCGGCGTCTAATGCATTTTCAATTAATTCCTTAACTGCTACGGCTAAACTGAGTACCACCTGTTAACAGATGAATTTACGTCAATTAGTCTCTCAAATGTTTTGAGAATATTGTTTTATCAAGCAAATAGGAAAGATCCTCTCTGGTAAAATACGAAATTATAATACTATTTAATTAATAACAGTATAAATATAATATAAATTATTATACTAATTATATACTTACTTGTCCCGAACATATTTTGTGGACCGTATGTGTGTTTATAGGTTTAATTGATTGTAATTTCACATAAGACAGATCGTTTTTTTCTAATTCCATGATTTATTTCGTTTGATTAAAAAATATATAATTAATATAGTTGAGATAGGTTAGGTTTGTGGCAGTTTGTTACTATTCATATAATTAGAACTGGCTTTATAGCCATTAGCTTAAAAACAATATATCGTACTATCTATATTAACAACAAATAATTAAGATAAACTAAAAATTCGTGTGTGAATTCGCGTAAAAACTACAGCTCCAAAAACCCAAGATGTATTTTTTTGGTACTGTTTTTTCCATTGGAAAAGGCAAAGGCACTAATGCGCTATACAGCATACAGCCAAGACTGAAGAATAATCTCTTCCTTGTATTCCACTACAAAAATTAAATGTATTTTTTTCCTCGTTCCGCATGGAACAGGGGAAGATCAACGACCATACCCTAAAATCGCCTTTTCCTATTTCAAACATACCCTAAATATCGTCGAGTAGCCGATCACTTTTTTAATCACCGCGCGACCCCCCCAAGCAGCCTAAATGGCGAAAAATCGCCTGATCTGCAGTGCTGCCTAATCATTCGTTTTAGGGTGGTATTCCAGAACTCTACTATTGAGTACTCAAGTCCTGACTTGAGCATTGGCTCAAGTCAGATTGAAAGCACTAGAAATCATACTCAAGTTCCTGCCATTAGGGTCGTATTTCCAGTGCAATCCTGACTTGAGCATTGAGTAGAGTTCTGGAATACGACCCTTTAGTGTTGTAACGCAGTTTGAACTGCAAAAAAGCTCTTGATACTTGAACAGATTTTTACTATCCCTGTGTATATTATGTAAAAGGAACATGCATGGATGCATCCTGTGGTAATATTTTCTTGCCAAAAATGAAAACGCGGACAAAAGTTCACATTCGGAATCATCGACGGTGCTTATCGATGGAATTTATCGATACCTCCCACATAAGTTGTTGCAAGTCAAAATATTTTTTTTGCTTTTTAACTTATGTACAGGCTGTATCAGTGGCGGATTTACAGTCTTGGCCGCCCTAGACCTCAGGCCATGTAGTCAGTACCTACCAGCCGCCCCTTTCTCAGCACTCATCATATACTGGTAGACTACATAATGAATTTACTTTACTGCCAACTTTTATCGAAATATTTTACATATATACATTACATACATTATACATAAATATTCAACATAGTCAAAAGTGAACGTGATAACGTTTTTAGGTCCAAAATCATAACTATTAATAATACATTGAAATTTAGTGATTGGGCGACTGTGGGAATTCACAAAAGTAGACAAAGACTATATGATCTTTACGATGAAAGGACTTATAACACTAGTAACAGTTTTAATGATTTTGTTAGGAAATATTCGAAAATGTTTAAACGTGTTTGTGTTGCAGCCAAAGCAATGTTTATAAATAATAAAATAAAAAGCAGCGCGAATGTAGTAAAAACGACTTGGAATATTATAAACAGCGAAACTGGAAGGGTCAAACCTCGTAACTTAGATTTTCAACTAAGATATAATGACAAAATTGTAAACACAGACGCAGAAGTTGGTAAAATATTTGAAAATTTTTTTATTGACATTCCAATTTTGACTACTAAGTCGTTAAATTCATCTCCCACCGCCGCTGAATCCTTACTAAAAGAAAATAATGCAGTTAGTATCACTAATTTAAGGTTCCGTCATGTATTTCCAAATGATATTGTTAAAGCCTTTAAGTCTATAAACATAAAAAATACTGCTGATCTTGATGGTCTTTCAGTCAGAGTAATTAGTTCTATAGTTGATTGTATTGCGCCTTATTTAGCCTGTGTCTTTAATAAATGTGTTGATGATGGTGTCTTTCCTGACCTCATGAAGCAAAGTAAAGTTATTCCACTTTTCAAATCTGGTAGTATTTCTGACCCCACAAATTTCAGGCCTATATCAATACTACCAACTCTCAGTAAAATATTTGAAAAAATTATTCTAAATCAGATGTGTGCACATTTTTATAGTAATAACTTAATGTCTCCTAAACAATTTGGTTTCACTCGGGGTCGCTCTACAACCGATGCTGGTGTCGAGTTGATTAATCATATATTTGATGCATGGGAAGTCTCACATGAGGCTATTGGTGTATTCTGTGACCTTTCCAAAGCTTTTGATTGTGTGCACCATGATACACTGGTCAGCAAACTTCGCCATTATGGTGTGGCGGGACGTGATCTCGACCTTCTTAAATCGTATTTGCGTAGTAGGGTACAGAGGGTCGATGTTAACGGTACGAGATCGTCAGGATCTGCAATTAGCATGGGTGTCCCTCAAGGTTCAATTCTAGGCCCATTTTCATTTTTAGTTTATATTAATGATTTACCTAGCCTTATGGAGGGTATAAAACATGAGATAGTATTGTTTGCTGATGATACTTCCTTATTATTTAAAGTTAAAAGGCACCAATGTTCCTACGACGATGTGAACAATGCTATATCTAAAGTAGTTGATTGGTTTGCTGTTAATAACCTACTTCTTAATGAGAAAAAAACAAATTGTGTGTACATTACCCAATGTTAGAGAGACGGTTACAAACATTGTAGTTAGAAACGAAAAATTGAATCTTGTGGATACAGTTGTATTTCTAGGTATAACGTTAGATGCTAAATTGCAATGGAGTCCCCATATAAGTAAGTTGTCAAAACGGCTTGGCTCTGCAGTGTACGCGATTAAAAAAATAAGGAAACTTTCAGACGTCGAAACCGCTAGATTGGTTTACTTCAGCTACTTTCACAGTCTAATGACATACGGCATTTTGCTTTGGGGTAATGCCGCCGATATCAATAGAATCTTTGTCCTGCAGAAACGTGCAGTTAGGGCAATTTACAATCTGGGCCACAAAGTATCTTTGAGAGATAAGTTTAAGGAAATTAACATTCTTACACTAGCCTCACAGTACATTTATGAAAATGTAATTTATGTTAAAAGGAATAGTAATTTATTTATGAAAAATAGTGACAGACATAACATTAATACGAGGAATAGAAATAAACTAGCTTTTCTTGATAGTCGTCTTCACAAAGTCAAAAAATCATTTAAGGGGCAATGTATACGCTTTTATAACAAGATTCCGGTTGATATACAAAATTTGCCTTTCACGAGGTTTAAAACCATAGTGAAACAAAAACTTTATACTAAAGGTTATTATACAACTTCTGCGTACTTGGATGACAAAAATCCGTGGTAGTAACCCGTTTAGCTCATGGAGGTAGTCTCGATCTCTGATGTTTCAAATAAAAAAAAAATATTGTAAATGTTATTTACAAAGAGCAACCCCTAGAGTTTCTTGCTCATTCTTCTCAGGGGAATCCGCCTTACGAATGAGCGGTAGAGTTTAACCATTGTGACGATTTCAAGTGTAATAATGCTTACCTATGAAATAAAGATTATTTTGAATTTTTGAATTTGAATTTGAAAATCGATTCAGAAATTTAATAAATTTAATATTTTTCTAGAACATCGATTTGATTTATCTCTGTTAGGTTCGGGGCGCACGTCAGTAAAGCCCTAAGCCGGCATGATTTTTTTCCGACATCTTCAACATTTATTTTATATTATTTATTTAAGGTTATATTTAGGCCAATTTACACAAAACCTAAATAAATTATACACTTAATCTAATTCAATCACTCTGTCTAATGGTGAACTCTATATCTATGGTGAAAACCGTCAGGTCAGTAGTTTTTGAGTTTATCGCGATCAGACAGACAGACAGACGCGGTAGTGATAATATGTAGTGATAATCACTACATATTATCAAGAAGTCCGGACCTAAACCCCATGGATTTTCATGTGTGGGGGCGCATGAAAAGTCTTGTCTACAGCGAGTCAAATCCAGTTTCGTCTGTGGAAGAGTTAAAAGAAAGGATTGTGGATGCAGCAAATCAAATGAGGACAACGTTGACCACTGGAGTAGTGAAGACTGGTCTCCGTAGAAGAATGCGACAATGTATTAGAAACAGAGGCGGCCATGTTGAACAGGAACTGTAGAATAGCAAAAAGTTGTGTGAAAACCTGATTTAATAAATACTTTGCATGCTTACCTATTGTTTTGTTATACTTTTTAGGGCTAAGTATTAATTTTCTCCTCCACTATCGCCTATGAAAGTAAGTTTTTTCAATGCATTTAAATAAAACCCTAGATTGTTATACCTTGTTAGATAGCTGATGAAACGTAGATATTTTATAACTTATCTGCCGATCAACTGCCATAATATTTTTTTTAGATATCCCTTAGAGGAAAAATAAACTTTCTAATTTTTTTTTTTAATTTCTTAACTTTCTCTTTTCTACTACGGCGTATTGAATTAACTTATTCACAATTTTAATGATTGAGGTCCTAAAGCATCTTATCACACATGTAAAAATGCAATAATTATAATAATAAGACACACAAAATAAACAAAATTAAATTTAGTAGCCTAAAAATCGGCAATTTTGAATAAAAAAAATAAAAGTCAAATATCTCGAAAAGGGTTAAGTTTAGGGTAGGGTGTTTCATAGTAAAATAAGTCAGAAATGATGAGTACTCCACGCCCTTAACGGATCTAGCACGACTTTTCCTGTAACCCTGTATATTTGTTTCTGCTTGCAACACCTTCCCGCTCCACTTGTTTTTCTTTATATTTAGTAATTATAGTATGAAGTAACTTTCGCACGTTACTTTTAATCGTTTTATTCATGATTGATAAAGCGACAATGAAAAAACTAAAAAATATTGCACTCGATAATCACAAACCTTAGAGGATGGAAAAAAATAACACAAACTACTAATACAAGACAGACGGTTAACTCTATGGCAGAAAAATGTCATAGTAGTCAGGTATGATGCGACGCGGAGGCGGCGAGGAATGTGCTATAGATATTCATTGATGAATTTATGCAACATCTCACTTGCACTTTGAGATTTGTTCATTATTAACTCTTCTGTTTCTTTTACACCTTTCATATAGGTATGTGTAGTATTGTAGTAAAATAGGGACGCCCTCTAATCGATAAAACCGGTGTTAGAGCTGTGCCATACGATTAAAGTATAGAATATTTTTCCGGTTTTTGTACGCTCAGGTTCTTGAAATACAAAAATTTTAGGAATGGGGATTAAAATGGGTAAGAATGACTTTATGCAAAGATTGTTATTGTTTATTTATTTAATACTCAGATGCTTATACATTAATATATCTTATACCGAACTTAAATAACAATATTTATATTTTAATAATACCAATTTCTACGGCTAAAATGTGTACGTGTACCAATGAAATGGCCCCTCTGATGAGGGGGAACAGCGCCCCACCTAGTACATACGATAATGTACAATTTCCGCACTGTTCCGTGCGACTCAACCACTTGGAACTGCCTCCGTGGCCGAACGGTTACCAAGCCGGACTGCCACGCAGAGGTCCCAGGTTTGATTCCCGGGCCGGGCAAATATTTGTATGGCCTACATTCATTTCTGTCGGAGTTTGGGTGTAATTTGTGGTTGTCTATGTGTGTCCATGGCTCCCGCGACAAAGGGTTTCCCTAGTGCAGGGCTATGTTGTGTGTGCGTTATTAAAAAAAGCCCAAAGTATACAGAAATGCTTACACGTATATGCATTTGTATAATTTAATCATATTTGCAATATGGACTAAGTTCTAGTATGTTTGTCGGAATATGAAACGCCCAAGAGAATAAAAGGACATCAAAAACTACCTACCCACCCCGTAACTATTCTATATAATATTTACAATGTAGACATGAAAGTCTGGTCTTGTCTCTTTGCCTAGCTATCATTAATACGAGAGAATAAGAGGACATTAAAAGCTACCTACTTCTTTGTCGATAATGGCGTACTGACAGTTTTGACAATTTTTTTTAAAATTTATTTCTGGCCATGGAAACAAAGTCCTTCAACCGAAAACATTTGAGGCGGCGTGCTTGGATTGACTCGGGATTCCTTAGAACGGGCCGATACGGGTATTTTAGTTCGAGATTCGTATAATTTCGCGTTTCAATCTTCGATTAAGGCACAATAGCACTATCCTATTCCACTTTAAACTAGATTTCACAAAATAATTGAAAGTCAAAATAAAAACGACACATTTCCCTTAAAAGGTCCAGAGCGAATCCAGTTTTGACAACAGATTTTAGTGTTGCCATCTAAAAAGTTTTATAAGACTGTGTCTCAACTTTCGTTTGCCAAACTATTGCGTTATCGAATTCTTTATTCTTATTTTGACAAGACAATTTCTATTCATAATATTTTTTTAAGGATGGCGAATTTGAGTACATATTGAATTAAATTTTGAAATCGTTTGTTTCTGACAAAACATTTTTTTTTAAATTTGTAATCAAAACCGATTAGCGCTTTTTATTTTTATAACAAAAAAATTGGAATAAAAAATAAATACCGGAACTTTTTATCCACAAAGCAACTCAATAAGGATTCGCTCTGGACCTTTTGGAGGGAAAAGTGTCGTTTTTATTTTGACTTTCAATTTTGTGAAATCTAGTTTAAAGTGGAATAGGATAGTGCTTTTGTGCCTTAATCGAAGATTAAAACGCGAAATTATACTAATGTCGAACTAAAATACCCGTATCTGCCCGTTCTAAGGAATCCCGAGCCAATTCAAGCACGCCGCCTCAAATTGCCTATCCTCTTTGCGGCGGAAATACTTACAGAAACATGGCTCAAAAGACTTAATAATGTACCAAGACTTGGCTGTATGGTGTAAAACCTTTGCCTTCTCCTTTATGGAAAGAAGAAAAAAAAGTAGTCAATAAGTGTCAATGTCATTAATCCATAAACCCACAAAAAAACATTTGTTGTGACGTTTTTCTTTTTCATTTTCTTGTAATTCAGAAGAATTTTGGAAGTTCTTGAAAACTTGGATCGACGAATAGTGTGATTATAAATTCTAAAGCTTAAACATTGTGCGCCACAATGTCTTTAAATACAGCTCACGCTGACCACGGTGTCTTGATACATGCAGGAGAATCGTGAGTCACCTCAGTATTTACCTATCACTTTAATTGTATCGAATCTACCTAGAATGTTCCTTAGCTGCCTTATGTTTTGAATGCCTAGCCCTAGGTGTTATGCTCTCCTATACAAATGCAATAAAGACTACTTTGTGTGATTCAGCTTCATGAGTCTTAATCGTAAAGCTAGAAAGGGCTTAATGGTACAATCAACTAATTAATTGCGTTTTTCCGTTTGCGTTTTAGCATCATCTTGTTTTCCGACAATGTCACAGTGGAATTCTACGGCAACGATGCGGTTGAGTTTAAAGGGGCTAAGCATGGAAGAATGTACCTTACAACTCATAGAATGATTTATAATTCTAAAAACCCTTCTGATGTTTTGCGCTCTTTCAGTTTTCCGTTCATAGCTATGCAGGATGTAAGTATCAGCAATCCCTAAAGTTATTTATTTGTGGCATAGCCACAAAATACAAACTATAAAGTTGCTTAACATTAACATGCATTGTAATAAAGTAAATTTTCATTCCTATGACAGATAAGCACAGCATTTACAATACAAATTTAGGAATTATACATTAAAAATGTACATATTCTACTTGCATATAAAAAACATACAACCAACCATTAAAAAAAGTACAATTAATATTGGTGGAGAATGTTGTAATATACATCATGTGTATTGGTAGTTCAAGCTACGCAAGCCCTTATATTTGCACATTATATATATTATGACTTTCTCCACCACTATATAGATCACTAGATCCAGTAACCAATCACATAGATTACTACCTGATGGTTTAAGGACCTTGTGCACTTAGGCAGCACAAGCATTTAATGTTCCTCATAAACAATGTAATATGACTGTCGGAAAGTTGTCTTTATTATATCAATGCCACATATTCTTTGTTTATTATTTGTTCTTGTGTGCTATAAAAAGTATGTATTTATTTTTACATTTTATACTATATAGGTAACAGTGGAGCAACCAATGTTTGCAGCAAACTTCATCAAAGGGAAGGTTCGTGCTCAGCCAAATGGGAATTTTGTAGGCGAAGTGAAGTTCAAGTTGACTTTCAAATCTGGGGGTGCTATTGAATATGGTACTGCAATGTTAAAAGCTGCACATCTTGGTATGTTATATTTTAAGTATTCATCTTTATGTTTGTCTCAATGATGGGCTAATAACTTTTTAGATTTTATAGCTATACTTTTCTACTAACAAAAATTTTTATTAACTAGTTATGCTTTCACCAATGGTTAGGTATTTTCAAAAAATGCTTATCACTATAATTAGTCATTTTTACTGAAAATTTTATTCTGTATTTTAGGTAAAAGTGAACATAATCTTTGAATATATGTATGATTATCGCCCAAGCAATGTGTGTGTTATCTATTTGCTACTGATAAACTGTTATCTATTTTAATGTACGTATTGTATTCAAGAGCAGAATGTTTACAAATGAATTTTCATGCACAACATTTTTTTCAAATAATTTTTAATTGAATTTTTTAATAATGGTTAGTTAGTGGTTAGATAGTTTAACATTTCAATAGAGATGTTGATGGTAAGGTTTAATTTACGCCATCCGTCTAGTGCTCTAGCAGCACTTTTATTTACATTTACATGCCTTAGTGTTAGTGTCACTACAGGGCATGGGTCTTCTCTCAGTCGAGGCGTTAGGCCATAGTCCGCCACACTGGCCCAATGCGGGTTAGGAACTTGACATGTTTTTCGAGGGTTGTACTTCAACATTTTCGGTTTCCTCATGTTGTTTTACTTTACTGAAAAGCTCTTGGTACATTTTAAATTAATTTTCGCTCATAAATTCAGAAAAAACTCAGAGAAGGTAGATGAAACCATTTGGCTACAACCGCTCTTTTAACTTTACATGCACTAATCAAAAGTTTCTTTTGTCATCACCAACTAGGCTATTTATTAAGGCTGCCTAGCCCATTTTTTCTTCTGAAATTATAATTGTATTGTTTTGTTTCAGCTAACCGGTTCATGAGCAATGATGCGCCGCCTCCGCCATACTCGCCACCCACTGGGCCATGGTACGCAGCGCCGCCGCCGGCATACGCTCCACCCCCGCAAGGCTACTATGGCTGGGTGCCTCCTTATAGTGTAAGTAAATTTTAATCAGTTAGTAGTTCAACTATTTTAGCAAACACAAAACATTAATACCGCATTTTTTCATAACCAATTATATGTATACTTTGTTTCCATCCATTTTGAACATAAAGTAAAAAACAAGTCACTGACCCGACCATAGACAGTTTAGTGATGGCCAACTACAAATCGATTAATTAATTGAATGGATCGATTTGTTCAATTGAGTCATACTAGCGGTTTTCCGTACATAACCTATATAAGCATATTTAAAATTTCAATTTAAATTTTCCTTCAGATCCTTAGATACTCGTTCGATTGCGATAGAAATGTTCGATTTAATAATCGATTACTAAACTTTAATAGATTGAACCGAATGTTTTTTTTTTCAAACAGCGCTATGCAACCATAGGCAAGTCATAGAAGTATATATGAATACGAGCCCTGTACCCCACCTACGGTGGGGTCGGGCTCGGCCTGCGGCGCTTGGTCGATTTCAGTTTACGGGGTGTGCTCATGCTCTTCGGTGGCACAGCAGTTAGTACTGTGGGCGCTTGATGAGGAAGTCGATTCCCGATATATGCCAATTTAAGAAACGAATATTTCTAAGTTGGTTTTAGTCTGAGTATTCTGGGTTATCGTTGATTTGGTATTCATAGTACCTACATAGTACAGAAAATTCGGCAGTAGTTTGGCATTTTTTCCCCCTAAATACTTCGCTTTCAAGAAAATGAAATCTAACATAGAGACAGTTGAGATACAACAACGCTATAATAAGTATCTCATTTCCACTACATTGGGAAGTATGTTTTACATTTTTACAATTGTGAGATCTTGTACTCTTAATTTATTACGTCTCCGTATATTATCTCCATTTGATGGCGTGCGGAGGATTCGGGCTTCGCCTTCCGCGGACCTCGGCCTCCGGCCTCGGCACTTATAACTTTGTTTTAATAAAATTGAAATAACTCTTTAATGGCGGCCATACTTAAAAATTACTATTATATATAAAAATTACATTAATTATTATCAAACAATCTTAGAAATCTTTTCATGCCAATTTCCAGTCCAAGCAAAGCAAGTTTTTCAATAGCCATTTACATAAAAAATTACGGCTATATCGAAAAACGGCAGAAACAAAATTTTTACTCCAAATTGTGATTGAAGCTATGCCATTTTCTGTCGAATTAGAAGAAATTTTTATCTACCGCCAAAAAAGTTTGTATGGCAGTAATATTGAAAAATGGCTAAAAGTAAATGTTGACCGCTAATTATTATTAAACACTCATAGAAACCCCGACATGTCCACTTTCAATCGAATTAGAGCAAATTTTTATCTGGCGCTGAAAAAGTTTGTACGGCAACCATATTGAAAAAAGGCGAAAAATAAATTTCGACCGCAAATTATTATCAAACACCTATAAAGATCACCACATATCGATTTTCAGTTGAATTAGAGCTAATTTTTATTAGTTGTTGAATGGCGGCCATATTAAAAAATGGCGTAAAACCATTTTTGATCACAAATTATTATCAACCATTCCTAGAAACCCACACATGCCAATTTTCAAAGGGATCAGAGCAATTTTTTTTCTGCCGCCAACGAACGCTTCTATGGCGGCCATATGTTAAAATGGCGAAAATCAAATTTTGAGCACAAAATATTATCCAGCACTTCTAGAGGCCTTCACATGCCAATTTTCAGCCGAATCAGAGCAAGTCCATTTCGGTAGCCATATTAAAAAATGGCGAAAAGAAACTTTTGACACTAAATTATGGTAAAGATATGTACATACCAATTTTCAGCCGGATCGAAGCAAGTTTTTCTTCGGCCGCCATTTTGAATTCGCCATCTTGTTTTTTTTAACCCAGGCAGTTGACCACTATTAATCTCTATGACATTCCTTCAAGCACCTCCTACCTATCTCTAATAGTTTCCGTGATAGGAGACTTTGAAATTTGTATGGCGGCCATCTTATTTATTTGAATTTCGAACATTTTTTAATTTCGGCGGAAATTGACCAGGGTGTACCTCATAAAACTGCACAAATATTCCCTCCATATATTATAGTTTTTGCAGGCCGTTGATCACTCTTTCATACTTTCCACATTTAGGTCTTTTCATATTTGATTCTTTGCTTAGATTCCAATCTATACGCGTACAACGGTAAAAATTTCTTTTTTCCACCATATCGACAAGTATGCGTTCTATTTCTATCAGTGAGTAAGAACTTGTAGCTATATATAATAGTTTTTTCAAATACGATTTTACGATGCTATTCAAATGGATATTGTTGGAAAAAGTGATGATATATCAAGTCGAAATCTTCGAAATATACGTGAAAGTGTTACATATCCGATTTATTGAGTGATTGCTTTAGAATTTTAACCTAACAGATTTGTTTACTTTTTATTCAAAATGGATTGGAACAGACTATATAGTAAACATTGTGATAATGATTAAGTATCTTCTAATTTGATGATTGGAAACAATACAATGCTACTAAGTATAAAAAAGAAGAAGCTGTACCTTTCGATCATTAAGTCATCACAAATTTTGTGCCGCAGGCTTTCCCTGATCAACCACCACCGAACTCGGTATTTGTGTCAAACAACCCGCCGCCATACCCGGGTGTGATGGGCGTCACCTACCCGCCAGGCCCTGGCGCCTCTGGCATGCCCAACGCCACAGGTGCGGCCGCCAGTGCCCCGCCAGGTTACCCGGGTTACCCAGGCAATCAAGCCGGTTTCTCGCACCATCCTCCACCACCCGGATATCCCGGTGGCTTTGCAGCGCCAGGAGCCACGGCCAATAATATGTCATCAAGGGGTAAGATTTCGTCAAAATTCTAAAACTTTTGAATGTTAATTACTATGATGTATCTCATATTGACTTAAAATTTTTGTTGAACAATATTTTGATATGTTTTCTTATTTGAAGAGTGAGAACTAAAGCCGAGGCTCCTGTGTGAGTAACATTTATGTCATCTAAAATAAATAATGTTGGTAGACACTTTTAGTAGCTTTAGAGAGTAGTAAGTATTACGTTGAAGTGTTATGTATAAAATGTAAGTAGTGGATTGTATGTAAGTTAGTTGTTGCAGTAGACTATTAACATTTACAGATGCTAAGGCAGCTGAGGCCCAACAAAGTGCTTACTATGACCCGAACAGGCCTCAAACAGCTTATGTGCCACCACCAGCATCTTACGTAAGTACGCTAAGTAAATAACAGATGAGTACTTAGAATTAATTTGTGTTTGTTGTAGAAATATATAGAAAATCAACATTAAAACTACATCTCAGTAATATATATGTATATTTATATTATTAAAGTACTTTCTGGAACATTATTTCAATCAATTCACTAGTGTTATGGTGTCTTTGAGTATATTCAATGAGGTGACAATTTACATATGGAAATTTGAGGTGAAAAAATAAGGTCAACTGCCAAACTGCTGTAGCTACAGGTAAAAGTTCTTAAAAGACAATACCTAAAGAAACAAAATCTATGTAAGTTATTGGAAGTAATCGAAAACTTTGGATTGTTCACTTAAGAACGTTTTCCTGTAACTGTTTAGTTAATTGCCTTTACTGACTCAACTCAAATTTCCACTCTGTATATACCAATTTCATTGTTCTACAGGATCAGCCCCCGACCTATCAAGAATCACAGTTGAAGAAAAACGACTAAGGCACTGTCCACATTACCATATGCCACTATCATCTGATAAGAATGCAGAAACGAGCCCACAAAGTATAAATGCATAGATATCTACAGTTCACGCGAAAGTTCATGACCATTCTAAAGAATCTTAGACTTGGTATTACTAACATATTACTTGTAATATATGATTAATGGACATGAACCCTTTTGTGTGTTTCGTACTATACTAAATATGTATCTGACAATAAGATAGATATCCTCTATTTCAAATTGTATCTACCTATCATATACATGTATTTCACTACACTCTCTCTCGTTCGCTTATGCCCTAAATAATTCACGAAACTTTAATTTGTGTTGAAAGGGGTGCTAGTGCTCCAGCTATGTAATGTTCTATACATTCCTTTTCTCAATGATGTTTATATCCACATATAATTATTATTGTAAATTTTAATATTGAATAATATTAGAAAAAAAGAATTGAATAATCATTATATTACAGCACCTCTTGGTGCCTGCATAAGCAGCATGCACTATTTATTATATTATACTTACCTATGTAATTGTTAAGCCCCATTATTCATCATGCTATATTAATTGCTCCGCAAGATAGTGATGTAGAGCAACATCGCGCAACGTAACCACAAGACGCCCAACTTAACAAAGGTATTTTTCTTAACAAAACTAAAATGTTTCGTTATTGTAAACTAAAACAAAAACTCGCATTGTTAACAGTTAAAATATGTTTGCATGTGTAACATGAAACGTAAATTACGGCATGAATCTTAATAACCGTCACGATTTCAAGTAATATTGACGTTATTTTTACATTGTTAGCGATGTGATTGTAAACGCCAAATGTAATACAGTATATCGAAACAAAGATCGAACAAACACAGAAAAATTCTTTTCATCACAGTTGCACGCACGTGAATAGTATGATTGCACGCAGGCTAACTTGACTGTAATGCCCCAAATAAAACCCTCGGGCCATTTTTCTTCTCATTACCTACATTTATGTGCAAGTGTGATGAAAAACATTGTATGTTTCACGGGCGGTACGAGAATTATTAACTCGACTCCGAAAGCCCTCAGTCTTCGAATTCGGGTTTCTAATGGTCTCGTTCGTAATTCCTTATTTACCGCCCTTAATACAATTGTGGGGTCTGGATGTTGTCGGACTGGTCGGCAAACAATCAATACGTAATTATTATTATTATCTATTTTAGACTATTAAATCAATGAATGAAATGAATTTATTATTTTATTACAATGTATTATTTCGTTTCGACGGGACCACGTAGCCTCGTTAAGGCGACTGACGCTGGTTCGTGTCCAGTCCGATCGAAAATAATTATTCGATCTTTGTTTCAGTAATAATAACAAACTAGTCGGGTATTTTTACAAAAAAAAAAAAAATAGATGACTGTCATATAATAAAAACATCAAGACTCACGTCTCTATTCAATAAATCCTACACCTTATTGTTGCTCAATGCGTGTCTCGGAATCCGCGTTTTTTTTGTTTTGTTACAGTAAGGTAGGTAAGAAAGCCTTTTAATTATATTTATTATTTTGTTACATACTTAGAAAATTAAGTTAGTTGTTAGAGTGATTTACATACACGTAAAAATTGACCAAAGTGGAACCAATAGTTGGAAAGGAAAATTATCTTTTGTTGGCGATTCTATATCATTTATAAATTAATGAAATTACGTCTAGGCCGTTGTGGGTTGTAACCAAAACGGACCGAAGAAAAGCTTTGTATCAGCAACGTGTAGTATTTCGATTAAGCGAATGATTTATTAAATTGTTATACATATGTAACGTTTTGAAGACCGTTTAGAAGAAACATACTGTCGACAGCACATCAAGTGTAGTGGTATACCAGAATCTGATGGCACTTAGATAATTTTAAATTTATAGTGGGCAACATCAGTATAATAGGAAAAACTGTACTAGATACTTCATATATCTTAATTGATCAGAATTGATCTAATCTCGTACATGTTTTAAGATCGGTATGAATTTGTGTGTGAGAAACATTAAATAATTTCTGACACATTTTCTGGCATACAAGTCTTGTTAATCAGCCCCAACAAAAATTGCATTGGCACCATAGATATATAAAAAAAGGGAGATATGTAATGACGTAATGTAAGATTACCGATGTCGCCACATTTTAGCTTGTGTGCAATTCAAACTTTACGCTCTATTGTCTACTACCATAACTTAAAGATTTTGATTGGGTAGGGCTTAAAATGTGAAAACGACGTAACACCATTTTAAAATTTAACAAAATTAAACTTACAGTCACTTGAGTAAGAGTTATATTACAATATTTCAGTATTTTTTTCATCCTGGTTCAGCCAGTCACCATCAGGTGGCGTTTAAGTAAAAATACTACTAGTATATAATAGCTGACTATTACACGTTAGATGGCGCTGAAACTCATTTTTCGTTACACTAAAAACTCACGGAGCGGTTTCACCCACACCTGCCGCGGGACCGCGGCATCTGTAGAATATGATAGTTAAGTATGTAAAATTAGTAGCACATTTCACGGCGCGTTTTACGCCTGTAGTGGGGACAGTTGCTCGCGGTTGCCGCGGCGGGGTACTAGTAGAACCGCGCAGGACGCGATTACCTGCGCGCTTGGCGGTCGTCGTAACCGCGCACTTTGGCGGTCGGTTCAGGCGCAATGTGGTGCAGGCGTACGCGTGATGAGGTCTCTATTAACCGCGCGACTTGCGATTAACTCGCACTTAATTCGCGGCCCGTTCCGCAATCGCAACGGTTTCCTGCCCGCAACCGCGGCGGCTAGGTGCCCGCACATACTTGCACGGTCGTGAATATTGAAATAAAACCGCTGTCCCGCAGCACCGGCGGGCGCGGATGGAAACCGCTTCGAGAATTATTAACCTTAAACTGACGCTACTCAACGAGGGATGTGGTCCTACCTAATTGATAGTTAGAAACCATGTGGCTGTTTTTAATATAAAAAAAAAAACTATTTTTCATACTATACCTACACTGGCACTTTGTGTTATTAAATTAATAAAAAATTAATGTATTAATATAAATTATTATCATTTTCTTAATGGCGGTCACTAGGCTTAGGCCAGTGTCAGTTTTCCATTATACGTTACCAAGGGTTGGTGAAGTAGTCATTGTCAAGCGCAAACTCGGACCATCAACGAATTTAATAAATTAAATCATGTTGTTTTTTATTAAGGATTTATGTAATTTTCTATAATTGTTTTTAATTTATTTTGCATGCACATGTAAAATAGAGCCGATTTTATTTTATTTATTTTTGAAATGCACTTGCTATGGAAATTTAAACAAAGTCAGAAATAGTAATAAGAAAACCAACATTTCGATTTTCCTGCAGCTTCAATCCAACCTTCTCTTATTTTGAACTCATTGGAAAAACTTAAAAATTAAAAATACTCTACGTTTAATCTACGAGTATAATGAAATTTAAATATCTAAAACAATAATACACATACATTTTTCTTCAAGCAACAGCAACATACAAATTGACATGAAATTGAAACGGTTCCCCGAAATATGAGTTGGGTTAAAGTTACTCGAAATAAAATGTTTGGTAATAATAATAATAAAATAAAGGAAATCAATTTAATGTGAATGCTTTTTGCTTCGATATTTTAGGGATTTTAATTACAAGAATCATAGTAAGAAATTCAAACATTTCAGTAAAAATTAATTGTCGATAAACATCAGTCGTCGTAAATGAACATCACTATATTTGATTGTAGAAATTTCTATGGTGATAAAAAGAAAACATTGAATAATAATAGAAATAGTAACTAAAAATGTTATCTCACTGGTTTTAACATTTTTGTTTTCACTCAAAGTTTTACAAGGTGTATCACTATAACTTGGCATTTTCACGTTTTACGAGAGATCTTGTATGTACACACGCCAGCACATCAAGCTACACATTGACGTATCTTGTTCAGTTGCACTGGAGGCGGTTTTCGAACAAAAATGTGTCACTGTGGCGATGTTGGTAGGCGTGTCAAAATAATCATATTGAAGCGACACGAACCACGCCCCCATACCAAATCTCCCCTTTATTTCTATATCTATGATTGGCACCACAATCATTGATTTGGCATTGTTAAAATTTCAAAGATCAAGTTTGTTTACTCCTACTAATCGGCAAGATTTGAGACCCGCTTGAGACTTATTCGCATGCACCTAATTCGTCGCTGATTTTGCGATATAAACATTATTGCAATGTTTTTTGCTTGAGATTGAAGGGGATTCTCAGGGTCGTATTCTAGAACTCTATTCAATGCTCAAGTCAGGATTGCACTGGCAACACAAGCACTGGAAATACGACCCTAATGGCAAGGACTTGAGTATGATTTTCAGTGCTCACTGCAATACTCATGTCCTGACTTGAGTATTGAGTAGAGTTTTGGAATACGACTCTCAGTAATTTTGCTACAAAATCGTCATTTTAAAGTGAAAAAAGTTGAGCTGACAGCCATTTGACACAAGTAATATTTTGAATTGACATGTGACAAGTTAACATTGCCAGGTGAAAGTCGTTCGACATTTCTAATATTTAATGCCACTCGTGCATGCAATAAAGTTCATTCTCTGGCAAAGGGTCGTCAATTATTTCAACAACAACTGGCAGGATCGCGTGAAAATGATCTGTCGAGACTAAAAGTCTATTAAAAACATTCGTTTTCCATTGTATATTTCGTAATGTAAGCGTCCAATTACACGACGCGAAAGTTTCGCGCGGCGACTGCCCAGTTACCACGCTTTCATTAATTACTTCATAATCACGCTTACATTAATGGCGAATCTGAATTCTATTTACTATTTAGGCAATATTTAACTTCCTCTGAATAATAAAAGGGCGCGCGCGTAGACCCAAGACAAGCCAGACTCGCCCGAGACGCTCATTTAAAATAAAATATAAAAGCTAAATGAATAGAGCGCACTTTGCCACAACAGTTAGATGCTCATTTAAAATAAAATTAAAAGCTAAATGAATAGAGCGCACCTTGCCACAATAGTTAGATGCACGCGGTCTCCGTGCGGCGTGACCGCGATGAAATTCATATCGAATAAATGCGCCGTAAAGTTTCACCCTACTTTTCAATTTCTATTGCGCGCTTCTTGAAGTACTACTATTGGCTGCTGAAACACTGCTCCATTGCATTTAATACGTCATAAGGCCAGTGCCTCTATCACGGGGTCACTGTGACAGCTGTCGCTAACGACCGCGTAAATTACTTCACAATTTCGTGGCAAATTATAGTGCCCCTAGCCGTCACAAGAAACACAATTCTGTATACAAACATTTTACGTGGTCGCTCCCCTACAGCACGCCCTCTGGCGGAAGTCTTTAGCGTCCTGAGCAGAGGTTCGTGGCTCAGGACTCTAGCCGGACTCGGGTCGCCCTTAGGCCCGCTTTTTAGTTTAACTAAATCTTTAGTTTAATGAAATCGCCGCCGCACTAGTTTCAAACTTTATTTCAATTAGTTTAATTGTCATAATTCTGTGACCGACGTGACTTGCGAGACGTCTGTGGAATAAAACGGCATGCCACGATGTGCCGCGGCATACCGCGGCGTCCTGCGGCATGCCACGGTATAATTGTATCGAAATAAAGTAATATGAATTCTAACCTCGATGAAATAAGGATAAAAATAACTTGATCAAAAATAAAATCCTTTGCCGTGCCGTGCCATGCCGCAACGTCACTCTGCGTCGGCCTTTAGGAGCCTTCAGCTCGTCCATTCATCCGGTGGCGCAGTCGAGGCCATCAAGCGAACTGCAGTGTCTTTCAGGAAAAAAGCTAGCGATAACTGTCACTGTAATCTCATGGTAGAGGAACTGATCAAATGTGCGTCCAGCCGCACGTCCGCGCGGTGGCGATCAAAGTTGTTGGTACCGATGCCTGTGCTCACGTCCGTTTAATGTAACTTATTGTATTTGTGTGACAGCTAATTGCCAACGCAGTCTTTATCGCGGACGCATTTGAACGGTTATTTAGTATTGTACCTATAGTTAAAATTATTCGATTGCTTGTGATCAAGTATGTATGTAACAGATGTTACGAAATCGAACACGTTCGAACTTATGAACAGAAAACGCGTCTCTAAGGGTCGTATTCCAGAACTCTACTCAATGCTCAAGTCAGGACTTGAGTTGGCGTTTAGGGTCCTATTTCCAGTGCTTGAAATCATACTCAAGTCCTGACTTAAGCAATGAGTAGAGTTCTGGGATACGACCCTAAATGTGGTTATCCGTCGGCGGTATATTTCGATTTCCAACTTCACTCTCAAATTTATAGTTTATTGTGAATAAATATTGTATCTTTGTTGAACAATAAATGGCTTGCATTAACGATGTATTCACACTGTTTATTTATTGATTGTAA